CAATTACAACATCACCGTCTACAACCGAGGAAGATCATAGCAATCGGTATATAATTAATTGGCAATTGCAGAACTCACTTCTATATTTGTTACAGACTCAGTTACTGACATGTTGTTAGCCTTAAATAAGGGGGTGTCATTTTCAATGTTTTGTAGTCGGTTATCATCGTTATCATTTTCTCGTTAATTTCAATTGTTTGGAATTTCGACTCGTCGATTCGTTACAACGAATTACGGATTGTTGGGTAAATAGAATGTTGTATAGAGGGTCGTGAGGAGGACCATTTTTTAGAAAATATTCTCTCGATTCTCTCACTCATTCTCTCTCCCTTTTTCTTTCTTCTTCCTTCTTCCCCAATCTTCTCCGTTCTTCATTTTTCCTTTCTCAATTTCGCACTTCCAGCTCCGTGTACATAACATCCGGTATCGGAGCCGCTATCCGCTAACCGTCTTTGGTCCGGAGCCATGGTCGAAGGAACCCGCCTTAAAGCTTTCGATGAACAAGTCAAGAAAATGAAGACCAAGTTGGGTGTCTTGGAGGACTTACCGTCCGGGATGGAGGAAACCTAAAGGGAAACTACCGAAACTAAGCGGATGATGAAATCCATGATGGAGATGATGAGCTCCCTTCAATCCCAAACCATCGAGGGTGGAATTTCATCGCGGATCCACCAACTCGATACGGGGAAAGGCATTTTACCAACAACCATACAAATCGAGCCCCAAACACCAACCCGAAACACTCAAACCCGTACTAATACTCCTACCGACAAGAATTCAGGAACCTCTCTTCTACCCATACTCCAAACCCAAACCCAAACCCAAATATGGCCACGGCTCGATTTTCCCATATTTGATGGTACCAACCCCGTAACCTAGTTACGGAGATGCGACGAAAGTATTTCGGGTTTACCGAGTCAAGGAGGAATCTCGAGTGGAGACGATCGCCATGTTCTTGGATACCAAACCCGACATTTGATTTCAAGAATGGAAGGAAGGGAAGCCAGTATTGAAATGGGACGAATTTGTGACCGCTCTTTGTCCCGGATATGGAGAGCAAGAGGAGATTCGAGTGGTGGAAGACTTCCATCGCATCAAGCAAACCAAGCACGGTAGCGGATTATTTAGGGAGGTTTGAAGATCTCAAATCCCTAGTAAAGAAAATCAACCCCGGTTTTACTCGAATCTTATTTAGTTAAAGCTTTTATTGGTGGACTAAAAGATGACCCGAGTGTGGCGATGAAGTGTTTCAAACCCAAGGACTCGAATGAAGCTTATGAACAAGCTAGATTGAATGAAACATTACACAAAACTCACCCACTACCCAAATACTCTAGTACCTCGACCCACAAAACCCCCACGATCACTCCAACAACCTCAACTAAACCCACACCAAACACTACCTCTTATATCACCAAACACCTTTACCAACCACAATAATACTTAAACAACCAAAACAAGGACAACCACAACACCGGATCTTTACCTAGGGGAGAGATAAGGCGAGAACCGGGAAAGTGTTAGAAGTGTGGGGAGAGATATTTTCCGGGGCATCGGTGTAACCTCAAACGGAGGTCGCATATGCTCGCTAGCAGAATGGGATGCGGATGAAGGTGATGTGGATGGAGGAGGAGCCGAAGAAGGGATTTCGGAAATAGAGACAATAGTGGAGGGGGATAGCGGAGTGTCATTACACACCCTTAGTGGCGGAACCGGCCCTAGCACTTTCAAGATCAAGGGTTATGTGGGAAAGAAGGCAATTAACGTGTTGATCGATAGTGGCGACACTAACGACTTCATTGATGAAATTTTAGTGAATGGGCTGAAGTTGCCAATAATTAGAACCCCAATAATTACCATCACGAGTAGCCAATGGGGCTAAAATGAGAAGCGAGGCGAAGTGTGAAGGGTTTACGTGGTTAATGCAAGGGAAGAAATTCACGAGCGACTTGAGGGTTTTGGCTCTAGGTGGTTATGATGTGGTCCTCGAGTCTGGATTGGATGGAAGGATATGATCTTATCCAATTTGGATTAAAAAATAGAGAGATAAAAATTCATGATAGTGAGGGAGCATTTGTGTTGAGCTGAAAAAGGAGATAAGTTTTTTGGAGTGCTTAAAGGCAAGGGAGTGCGAAACTTTTTAAGCAAGGGATACGGGGAGTTACGGGGCACCTATTTTTGTTGGTGCAAGAAGTGAAGGAGCGACAGGAATGTCATACGAAGTTGAAGAACTACCGAAGGGATTTAGTGAGGTTTTTGCCGCACCTAAGGATTTACCTCCTCGGAGATCCTTAGACCATCGGATTCCTTTGAAATCTAATGCTAAACCGAGTAAATATGAGGCCATACCGATATCCGTATTTCGAGAAAACAAAAATTGAGAAGATGGTGAAGGAAATGCTTCAAGCTTTAATTATCCAACCTAGCCATAGTCCATTTGCGAGTCCAGAGTGTTGCTAGTCAAGAAGAAGGACGGCATGTGGAGGTTCCGCATTGACTACCGTGGATTAAATGATATTACTATCGTGGATAAATTTCCCATTCCTTTGATAGAGGATTTAATGGATGAGTTAGAAGGGTCTAGGATTTTTTCCAAGATAGACATGCGGTCCGGATACCACCAAATTCGAATGGCGAGAGGGGGACATCCACAAAACTACCTTTAGAACCCATCAAAGCCACTACGAATTTCAAGTAATGCCTTTTGGCCTTACGAATGCTCCGACTACCTTCCAAGCCTTGATGAATCAAGTGTTCTCGACCACTTGAGGAAGTTTATTCCGGTATTCTTTGATGACATATTGGTCTATAGTAAGGACTTAAAAGATCACTTGCAAGCACCTTAGAGTTGTGTTAGAGATATTGAGAACCAACAAACTCTTTGCTAATAGGTCGAAATGTTACTTCGGGGTGGGACAAGTGGAGTATCCGGGGCATTTAATCTCGGGACAAGGAGTGGCGACGGACCTAAAGAAGATCGAAGTCTGTTTCTAAGTGGCTTGTACCGAAATCTCTAAAGGCGTTGAGGGGGTTTCTCGGACTCACGGGTTATTATCGTAAGTTCATTAAGGGGTATGGAACCATTAGTAAGCCATTAACGTAGCTACTCAAGAAGGATAACTCCCACTGGAATACAAAGGCGAAGTGGCTTTTGAGAGACTTAAGCAAGCCTTATGTGATGCACCGGTATTGACGCTCTCTAACTTCGGCGTCCCATTTGAATTAGAAACGAGATGCTTGTGATTCCGGTGTGGAAGTAATTTTGATGCAAAATGGAAGACCAATTGCATACTACAGCAAGGCTCTTGGTCAAAGGAACAAGGGGCTATCAACCTATGAGAAAGAGCTATTGGCTATCCTAGCAGTAGTAGACAAGTGGCGACATTACTTAGAAGCAGCCTCCATTCATAATCAAAACCGACCACTTCAGCTTGAAATATTTGTTGTAGCAGAGGCTAAGCTCTCAACTACAAAAGAAGGGGCTAACTAAGTCGTTGGGTCCGGATTATAGAATTCGAGTACAAGAAGGGGAAAGAAAACAAAGCTCGCTGATGCGTTGTCAAAGATGCATGAGGAAGATGCCGTAAGGGTGGAATTACGGGCTCTTACTCTCATTACTCCAGTCGGGTTGAAGAGGTAAAAGGGAGTTATGAAGGAGACTCGAGATGGCAAGCAGTAATGGTGAAGGTGGAGGGAAATTTAAACTCGATTCTCACTACACTTACCGTGATGGGATATTGCGGTACAAGGGCGACTCGGTAATGGGAAAGATGAAAGGGTCGTGAGCACGGATCCTCAATGATTTACACTCATCTCCGGAAGGGGACACTCGGGTACCATGCCACCTACTATAGAGCTAAGCAACGCTTCCATCGGCCCAATATGAAAAAGGATGTTAGGAGGATAGTGAGGGAGTGTAGTGTATGTCGACAATGCAAACACGAAAACGTGCACTATCCGGGGCTTCTAAAACCGTTACCGGTTCCAAATGGGGCATGGAAGAGCATCAGCCTAGATTTTATAGAAGGTCTTCCCTCCTCGAAGGAAAGAATACGATCTTGGTGGTGGTGGATAGGTTTACTAAGTACAGACCATTTCATGACCCTTACTCATCCTTACTCGCTCCGACGAGTTGCTCAAAATTTCTTAGCCAACGTTTACAAGTTACATGGGTTACTCGAAAATATAATTTATGACGGAGATGCTATATTTACTAGTCAATCGTGGCGGGAGTTGTTCAAGTTACCGGGAACGGAACCGCACCTCAGCTGTTCCTATCACCCGTAAACCGACGGACGGACCGAAAGGGTCAACCAGGTGCATTGAATCCTACTTAAGATGCATGACATTCCAAAATCCAAGGAAGTGGAGTAGATGGATTTACCTAGCGGAATGGTGGTACAACACTTCATTCCATTCGACTCTTGGTATGACCCCTTTCGAAGCCCTCTACGGATTCAAGCCTTCGGTGCATACGAGCAGTGGTTGATCGAGAACCGTGAAACATTTTAGTTATTTCATACTTACAAGAAAGGGAGAAGGGGATACATGAATTGTGACATCAACTCTCGAGGGCTCAAGACCGTATGAAAGCACGAGTCGACAAGGGTAGAAGTGAAAGGAATTTTGAAGTGGGAGATTGGTATTTCGAAGTTACAATCGTACCGTCGAACTCGCAGAGAAGAGGATAAGCAAGAAGCTTAGTCCTAGGTTCTATGGCCCTTTTCGGATCCAAGAGCGAATTGGGAAGGTAGTTTACAAATTGGAGCTACCCGAAGGGAGCTTAATACACCCGATTTTCCATGTGTCCCTTTTGAAGAGGAAGATAGGATTTGGGATCGCCTCCAGCTCTAAACTACCAACAGAACTTAGCAAATCCAGCTTCCATTATAGAGCCTAAGAAGGTTTTGGAACGGAGGGTGTTTAAAAAGAAGAACGAGCTGGAGTAGAATGGCCGATTTGGTGGAAGGGTCTAGGAGTAGAAGAGGCGACGTGGGAAGATGCGAGAGGAAGTGTCGGCTCAATTTCCTAACTTTGATCCGGATGCCCGATCCTTGAGACAAGAATCATTTGAAGGAGGATGGAATGTTACGGCCCGTTACGGCATGTCATTAGCCTTAAATAAAGGGGTGTCGTTTTCGGTGTTTTGTAGTCGGTTATCACTCGTTGTCATTTTCCGTTAATTTCAATTGTTTGGAATTTCGACTCGTCGATCCGTTACAACAGAATTGCGGAATGTTGTACAAAGGGTCATGAGGAGGACCATTTTTTAGAAAATATTCTCCGATTCTCTCACTCATTCTCTCTCCCCTTTTTCTTTCTTCTTCCTTCTTCCCCAATCTTCTCTATTCTTCATTTTTCCTTTCTCAATTTCGCACTTCCGACTCTGGGTACATAACAATATTTTCTACAAATTTGATTTCATTATGTTGAATATTTTACTTCATTTACTATTATTAACTTGTAAACCAAACCTACCACTCACTCACTCGTCATACACTCTCTAACTTTGGCTTTTACCTAAATCTCACATTTCTCTTCTCTTTGGCTCCTCCACTCACTATCATCTTCAACTCCAATTCCTCATTGTCACTCGTCAACATTAGGAAGGAAGAAATCGGGTACGTCGTACTAATCAAAGGCGAAATCGAGGCCGAGGAGAAAAATCTTGTTGTGCCATCAACCTCAAGACGGCATCTCAACAAGCCCTCGACCTTGTCATTTTGCCTTCTACTCCTATGTTTGAAGAAAAAGGGTTGGATTCGGATTGGGTTCAGCTTGATACTCATGTCTGTTCGATTTGAATTTGGATGTTTAGAGAGAGATGAGAGTTTTTATTTTTTGTTTTTTAGGTTTGCGGATTTTTGATAAATAAAAAATGGATCTATTTGGTAAAAGGTAAAATAGAATGAGATTTCAAATTTTAGACTTGATGGAATGCTTGGTTTTTGTTGTTGTGTTCAAAATCATGATGAACTCAACAATTTAATTGGGTAAGGGTTTAAAGATCATTAAAGGCAACGAAACCCAGTAGATTGAGTACCCATTGTATTAAATATTTTAATTTCCATTTTTTTATGTAATATAATTTAGGGATAATTATCAGAAAAATCTTTTAAAAAAATCTTATATTCAAGTAACCCATTAATTTATTTTTAAATCTTTCAAACCCAAAATAATATTTTTCTTACCAAAACATCCAATAGTTAACTTCTAACTTAACATTAGTTAACTATTGGGTCTTTTGGTAAGATAATTTTTTTATTTTTAGATTTGAGATATTTAAAAAATAAATTGATAGATTTTTTAGATAGAAAATTTTTAGAGTTTTTTTTAATATATTTTTTATCTAATAATAAACTCATTTCATAGTTTTAAAGACTTTGATATTTATTTATTTATTTCATGATCAAGTCAAGTTCTTTATTATTGCATTCGAAAGGAAAAAATAAAATTTTTTTAAGGTTCTTTGAATTTTAAACACTAGCATTTGACTACTATTTTTTTTTTATTATACTAAAAAATTCCTTATATTAGATTTTTTTTCTATCTATCGTTTGTTTCATTAATTACGAGATTAATTTTACTATCTATTAACTATAGCAATCGATGCAATTTAAGTGATTAATATTGATGAAATAAGACTCTTATTATTCTCTTGTAATTTAATCAAAGGGTTATCGTACAAATAAGAAAAATAAGAATATGTATAATTATGAACATTGGTGATTTCTTAAATCCTAATATATTGATAGGAAAAAAAAAAAGCATCATTCGTAATACTAGTTTTTAATTAATCATAACTTAACATTTTTTATCAATCAATTAAATTAAATTACAAGATGAATGTATGACATATTTTGATGCATTAATTAAATAAAACATGATCATCCATAATAGAAATACATATTTTAAAAGATAATGATTTTATTTAAACTATGGATAATTACCAAAATATCTTCTGAAAAATCTTTTATCTAAAAAATTCACTATTTTATTTTTAAATTTCCAAAACACAAAATAATATTTTTAAATATCAAAAGCCTAAAATAATATTTTTCTTATCAAAACAACTAATAGTTAACACTAGTGTTAATTATTGGGTGTTTTAATAAGAAAAATATTATTTTAGGTTGGAGAGATTTAAAAATAAATTTATGAGTTTTTTAGATATAACATTTTTTTATAATTTTTTTTTATAATTATCCCTATAATTTATTGTTAAAAAATTAATTTTATTTTAAGCTATACATGTGGCACTTATCGAGCCCTCGATTCGATCAACTAATGCCTTACAGTCAATCTAACTAAAAAAAATGGATGGGAGGTTTAAAATAACTAAAAATTGAAAGGAATTTAATGTGACAAAATTATTTGTAGAGGGTTCAATTCGACCAAATTTTAATAATAGAGGGACAATCGGTGATTTTTTGCTTTAATTAATAGGTAAAATTCTATAAATCTAACAAAAAGACGAAATTTCAAATGATAGAAAGTCAATTCTGAATTTTTTTTTAATTTAGAAACTAATTTAATTTAGAAGAGATTTAATCGATTTATCCTATATTAAATAAATATTAACATGTTATTAATTATTGTAATATTCATTCCAAAATTAATTACCTCTTTGTCTTTTTTTTCGCACTTCTTCTCTCAAGTTTCTCTCTTCTACAATTTACTTCCTTATTTGTCCATAAAATTCTCCCCTTTTTTTCCATCTAAATCTATGTCTCTCCATCCCTAATCTTTCCTTTTTACTCAAATTCCTAATTATATTTTTAAGATTGTGTTGGTCATTTACAAATCTTGAAAAAAAAAAGAAAAAAGAAAAAAAAAACAGAGAAAATCAATCATGACCAATAATTTTTTATCAATCGATATTTAATAATAATTTACAATAATTTAGAATTACATGGACATAAGCTCAAAAACTTTCATGAATCCAAAAATGTTATAACCCACGAAATGCATGAAGAGAATAAAAAAGGTAGTATCAAAGCTTGTTTATATATATATATATATATCCTCTTCAACAAAAGGTGAAAAGTGATGGTTTGTGTATTGAGAATTATGTTAGGATTTATTATAGCATTTGGAGTATTTATGTAAGTTAGCAGTAAAAGGAGAAACTCACATGTATTTTTCATTTGTTCCCTCTTTTCAATCAATTTTTAATACTTAAATTAACTAACGTGCAAACCAAGACAGCAAATCTGGTGCCAAAATCATTGAGATCACGTGCAATTTAAAGTTGAATCTAATAGAGTTAAATGGTGGATATTATTTTGTTATCTCCGTGACAGGTTGATTTTGTCTTAAGAAAATTCTATACATTGGGGATTAACTTGTGAAATGCATTATACTGTGGGGTTTAATTTGTAGTTATCCCAAGATAAAAGTTTCAAAAATACTCCTCGGATTCTCAAAAAATAAAAACACTTCTCCTCAGGATGTCATCCGTCAATCTCTCGGCCATTTTATTTTTTCTTTCTCACTCTTTTAGGGTCATATATTATTAAGATTATTCGATGTTGGATTTGGTAACTCTTAGCGTTCATATCTCACCCTCCCCTCTCTTTCTTTCTATTTTTATTTTTTCTTACATCTAAACAAAACCCAATTATTTAAGGATTTATTTACATACATTCGAAATATAAGACAATGTTTCGGCCAGGCAAAAGCTCATGCCATGGCTTTTTTTTTTTTTTTTTTTTTTGATAAAAAATAATAAAAAAAGTAAAAATTTAGAAGATGCTGAATTTTTTTCGCGACAGAACTTCACTAGCTTGATATTATTTCGTTAGTTGTTTTATCATTGATCAATAGTATCATGACACGTAGATACAAATAATTATTTAAATATAAATATAAAATATTAATCAGGAATATTTTTAATAAAATTGAAAAAAAGGAAAAAAATTGAGAAATAATTTAAATATTAAAATATTCCTTTTAATATTTCAAATATATTTATTTTTTAATATTTATTAGGAATATATTTTTTAATTAAACTAAAAAAATTGCCTAATCTGTTTTAATATATAAATATTATTTCCTTTTTTCAATTTGATTAAAAATATTCTTAACTGATTCTTTCTATTTTTTATTTAAATAATTATTTTGTATTTCATGTGTTATCATAATATTGGTCAAACTAACAAGATTCCATTACAAAAGGATCGACGCGTTTTAAAAGTTTGACCAAAATTATAGGGTGGCATACTACAAGTAGATCGATTAAGCAATATATAAATATTTTTAATAAAAAGATTGGTATGCACTAAAACTGAGAAGAAGAGCCAATATAATTGAAATTCAATAATAAAGAGACACACTAAGGTTTTTTTGTGAAAAAAAAAGCGATTCAAGTGAGAATTGCTCTGCATCAGTTGCGTGGGAGAAGGGTGCTTGCGTGGTATAAGAACGGAGCATATTAAGCAAAATTTGAGCGTTGATGTATGCACAATAAATTTCACACGTCCTTCCCTTCACTGGTGTGTGCTTATGATATGAAAGAAGAAAAATTATCTTTCCTAGAATCAATAAAATTAAACCCAATTCAACTTCGGGTTTTTCTATGAATTGTGAACTGACGAGAGGCGTTAAGCTGATAAATACAAGGAACGGAATGGTCGTTTAAAAATCTGTGAGGAGGTCATTTTAAATTTAACATTTATTTTAATACTTTAGTTACTTTAGTTTTAGTGTTTGCCTCTACGTAAAACACTTTTTTAGGGCAGGGGTTGATTGCTATGTAAGTTATGTATTGCAGACTTTCTCAACCCTCCGTTTGGGAGTTACAAAACAGAGACTTGCTTCCTTTATCCTTGGCTTCACGGTTTAGAAACAGAGGTTGGTTCATTGGTCTTCTTGTTGCGTTAGTTGGTATTAGAGCCTAGCTCCTCACCTAAAATCTACTTGTAGTATGCGACGGTCTTTAGGGCGATGATCAGAGGGCTGAGGCCCCAAATTATAGGGTGGCATTGATGGTTTTGGAGCAGCAGATGGATCACAGATTCCAGCATTTAGAAGGGTTCTTTGAAGAAATTGTAGATCGATTATATGCTTTGGGCATAGATGCCAATAAGAACCAGAATGATGACAAGCCACGCATCGGAGAAGATGCCATTCGTGGGCAACCTATCATCAGGCCTACTCCTGGGGTTCATTGGCATAGACAACAGTTCTACGTGGAGGATTCAAATGACGAGGAGGATTATTTTGAAGAGCCTGTTATGAGGAATGCTGGCCAAAAGAGGCGTGATTATGGTTATAGGGATCCAAATAACTCCAGGCTAAAGGTGGATGTTTCTTATTTTAATGGAAATCTAAGTATTGAAGTATTAATGAATTGGGTAGCAGATATAGAAAAATTCTTTGAATATATGGAGATCCTAGAAAGGAGAAGAATGAGGATAGTTGCCTACAGATTGAAGGGTGGAGCTTCTGTATGGTGGGAAAGATTTCAGATTATGAGAAATCACGAGGGAAAAGCACAGTCAGGACTTGTAACTAAATGAAATAACTTTTAATGAGGTATTTTCTCCTCCTGATTATGAGCAGATTCCATCCAGCACTACCAGAGTGCCGTCAGGATCAGAAGACGGTGCATGAATACATTGTTAAATTCATGAGGCTAGCCGAAAGGAATGACCTAAGAGAGACTGAAGGGCAGCAGGTTGCTACATATTTGGAGGGCCTAAACCAATCATCAAGGATAAAATAAGGGTGCTGGTGATGAGGACCCTATCTGAGGCTCAAAACATGGCCCTAAAGGCTAAACTGATGTGTAGGAAAAAAAACAGATCAAATTATTCTTGCAGGAGTTACAGTAGGGATAACTATGGAACCTCTAATGACAAGAACATTTGTACAGGATGTACCTATACATATTGATAGGTATAAAGAATACAAATCTCTTAGAAAACATAAGGTTACACAGGTGAAAGATAGATACAGGACCACGTATCCTTATGCTAAACCAATTATGGGTACATGTTTCAAATGCAACTAACTTGGTCATCGATCCAGTGACTGCCCCCTCAAAACAATAATGCATATAGTACAGCGAGGGGAAGGAGACAATGAAATTTGCTACGAGCTAGATGAAGACGATGATGAGTATGATGTGGATGATGATTGCCAAAATTATGTGGTGAAGAGAATGAAGCTGACACCAAAGCAAGAGAATAACACTTAGCGACATCAGTTGTTTCAAACCAGGTGCACTATCAGTAATTGTTTATTTAATTTTATTATTGATAGCGGTAGTAGTGATAATATTATAGGCAATGATGTTGTAGAGAGTTTGGGACTGAAAGTGTAAAAGCACCCTAGCCCATATTTAATTAGCTAGATTATGGTAGGGGAGAAGATTTAGGTGACGAAAAGATGTAAGGTGTCGTTTTCTATTGGAAAATATAAGGATAAGGTGTATTTTGATGTAGTGGAGATGGATGCTTGTCACTTGTTATCTGGTAGGTTTTTCCAGTTTGATGTTGGAGCACAACACGATAGGAGAGAAAAATATATACAAAGTGGAGAAAGAAGGTAGGAAATTTACTCTACCACCTATGAAAGAAAGCTCTAAACCCAAAGCTTCTAAAGTGGAGGGGAAGACATTCTTTACCCTTACTCATTGAGGGCGTGAGAGGTAGGTTGCAGTCAAAGAGTCCAAAGAGGTTCATGTTCTCATTGTGAAGCAAGAGTCGACAGTTGGGAAAAGAAAGAAAATCGCGGCCTATTTAGAGGTAGCCAAGTTGTTGTTGAAAGCATTCAAAGAGATTATTCCAGAAGAATTGCCCGAGGGCTTACCCGTTATGAGGGACATTCACCACATATTGATCTGTTTCTTAGTGCTAATTTACTAAATCTATGAGTCCAAAGGAGAGCAAAGTTTTGAGGAAGATGGTGGAAGAATTACTGTGCAAGGATAAATATAAGAGAGCATAAGTCCATGTGCAATGCCTACTCTATTGACCCTAAAAAAAAGATGGAAGTTGGAGGATGTGTATTGATAGCTGAGCTATTAACAAGAATATCATGGGATACAAGTTTCTATTTCCCAAACTAGATGACATCCTCGACTTGTTGCATGGTGTTAAGGTGTTCTCAAAGATTTACCTTCGAAATGAGTAAACCAAATTCATATTAGACTTAAGGGTGAATGGAAAACAGCTTTCAAGGCCAAGAAAGAGCTATATGAGTGGCTTGTGATGCCATTCGGGTTGACAAATGCCCTAAGTACCTTCATGACACTAATGAATTAGGTATTGAAACCCTTCATGGGTAAATTTATGGTAGTGTACTTCAATTATATCTTGATTTATATTCGGTCAAAAGAGGATTATATTTCATATTTGTAGGAAATTTTGACAGCCTTGTAGGAAAATAAATTATATGCTAACCTAAAAAGGTGCAGCTTTATGACAAATAAACTGTCATTTTTAGGATATATAGTAAAGTGCAGATGGTATTCAGGTGGATGAGCAAAAGATTCAAGCTATTTGACAGTGACCTACTCCTAAAATAGTAATTGACATTAGGATTTTTCATGGTCTAGCAACATTTTACAAGTGACTTATTAGGAACTTCCGCTGTATTATAGCACCTATTACAAAGTGTCTGAAGAAAGAGAAATTCTAATGGAGTGAAGAAACTGACACTAGCTTCGCTATCTAAAAGGAAAAATTATGTACTGTACCTATTTTAGTATTACCAGAATTTGAAGCACTGTTTGAAGTTGAATATGATGCTTATGACGTGGGGATATGGGCGGTTCTTTTTCAAAAAAAGAGGCCATTAGCATATTTCAGTCAAAAGCTTGGTAATGCACGATGCAAATGGGGAACGTATGATAAAGAATTCTATCCTATTGTGCGTGCTTTGAAGAATTAGGAGCATTACTTGTTTGGCAAGGAGTTCATTCTGTATTCAGATCATGATGCCTTGAACTATCTGAATAGTTAGAAAATGGGCAGTCCTAAAACACTGGTTTGTATATGCCTTTACCTGTTCCGAAGAATATTTGCGAGTATCTTTTTATGGATTTTGTACTTGGCTTGCCCTAAACACAAAGAAGCATGGATTATGTGTTTGTGGTTATTGATAGATTTTCTAAAATGACCCACTCTATTCCTTGCAAGAAGACTTTAGAAGCAAATGGAGTAGCCAAGTTATACTTCAAAAAAGTTGTTCGTCTACATGGAATGCCTAATACAATTACGTCTGATCAAGATAACAGGTTTCTTAGCCATTTTTTGAGAACTTTATGGAAATTGTTTTGATTCTTCACTAAATTTCAGTAGTACGACTCATCCACAAACATATGGGCAAACAGAATCAATGAACAGAATCCTTAGCAACTTGATTCATAGCATTTGTGGGGATAGACAAAAAAAATGGGATTCGGCTTTAGCACAGGTAGAATTCACCAATAATAGTGTTGTTCAAAGTGTTACCAGAAAATCTCCTTTCTCTATGGTGTACATCAAGCCACCACAACAGGCTCTTGATTTGATCCAGCTACCGTGAGCACCAGAAAACATAGCTCACTAGTGGTAAGATGTTCAGACAGAAGTGCAGCAGAAATTAGAGGAGTCTAATGCTAAGTACAAGAACGTAGCTAATCAACATCGCAGGAAGCAAGTTTTTGAAGTTAGGGATCAGGTGATGGTCTTTCTGCGTAACGAAAGATATCTAGTGGGAACATATAACAAGCTGTAACTTAAGAAGTATGGACCTTACTAGATATTGAAGAAGATCGATGATTGTCACTACTCGACTTTCACGGGACTCCCAAAAATTAAAATTTTTTTATTAAATTATATATGATTTATTTTAGAGATGTGAATTATTATTGATTTTGAGAGTTGCCAACTAGTATTGTAGAAACTAGAAATCTAAAAATAGCATTGGTTCGGAGATTTTAGGATAAGGAGTTAGTTATACTTTTTGGAAGATATCTATCACCCAAAAGTATTTTTTTCAAAACAATGTACTACGTCTAGCTTAGTTCTAAAAATTATCTCTTAAGGCGTTTTATTTGTATCAAATTATTTTCAATTTAAACTCAAAGTTTTTTGCTTCCTAGGCCAAATTAAGTTTTTTATTTTTGTTTGTGGTATTATATTGAACCAATCGTTGGACTCCTTCATCAAGAGACACATCGGTTCAACATCAAACCGACTTTAAGTCTTAACATAACCAATGTGTCGAAAAAACGTCCTATTTACTAAAGTGATTTTTTAGCTAATAACTCGTCCCTATTAGATATGAGACTTTGTTAATTTTTCTTATCATTTTCTATTTTTTATTTGATTTTTCCTAGAGTTATCTCTCTCTTTATTTAGATTTAATGTTTTGAATTTCTTTAAATTTATTTAGTTAATGCTTAATTTTAGAATTTATTTTAATAGTTAAGTTAGGTAATTAATAAGTGGATGGATTAAGGAGTCCCCTAATTTTTAGGGATCGATGATAATTCTCCACCAACAACAAAAAAAGAGAGAGAGAGAGAAAATTATATATATATATATATATATATATATATATATATATATATATATATATATATATATATATATATAATTTTCTCTCTCTCTCTCTTTTTTTTTTTGTTGTTGGTGGAGAATTATCATCGATCCCTAAAAATTAGGGACTCCTTAATCCATCCACTTATTAATTACCTAACTTAACTATTAAAATAAATTCTAAAATTAAGCATTAACTAAATAAATTTAAAGAAATTCAAAACATTAAATCTAAATTAAGTTGGAAATAAAAATATATAAATAAAAGACATTCGGGGTCAATTTATCTATAAAAAAAGTGAAATTAAAGCATTGGGCCTTTTTTGGGTTAGTGGGCCCTCAGTCCACTAGGTCGGCCCAATAAGCGAGCAACTCTCCATTTTTTTTCCTCATAGGTTTGGGTTGGGCTAGCCTTTTCCCCATGTGAGTTGGGCTTAGCCCAACTCATGCTCTTTTTTTCTTTCCTGGACTAAGCTAAGTCCATAAACAAGTTTTATTTTTTCTTTCATTCTATTTTCGATCAAAACCTCAACTCTCTTCTCTCCCATTCATCTCCCATTTCCTTTATCTCTCTATCTCTAGAAGCTAACCCTTTTTTTTTTTTCTAGCTTAGACCCAATCTACCAACAAATCTTTTCTTTCTTTCCTACTCTATTTCGATCAAAACCTCAACTCTTCATCTCCCATCTCCTCTATCTCTCCATCTCCAAAAGCTAATCTCTTGCTTCTATCACAATTTGAACCCAAATGTTTTTCTTTCCTCTTGCTCAAATTATCTCTCTTTTTCCCTCCAAAGATCGAATCCCTAGTCTAGCTCCTCTTCCCCTACTAACTTGAAACCCAATTCCAAATATCAACACCTTTTTGTCTTTCATCTCGCATTTTTTTTAGTCGACCTAATAAAAAAAAAAAACAGAAGAACGTAAAAGGGAATAGGGCAATTGTGTATATTACATGATGACAATGACAAAGTTTGTAACATACCCAACCTAGGACCTAAATAAGTTGAAAATATTACCACCGTTAACCTACATTTAGAGTGCAATGAATGCAAGCTAACAAGGCACTCGTGTCATTCTTGTGGCATTATTAGATATGAATTTTGTTATAAAAGCCCATTAAATAACCAATAGGTCATAAATTTTAGTCCAAAATGCACTATTAATTTTTTTTTATTTAACATTTTATATAAATAATTTGGATTGAATCGATTGGATTTGTGTTTATCGGTTTTGTCAAATTCTTTTTCTATAAATTAGAATAAATTTATTTAACTAATACTTATTATTCGATTGCTTAACCTTTTTGCTTTATTAATTATCATCTTTTAATCATATAATTTAATTACTTGTATCATTTTCATTTAGTGGAAGTATGCGAGAAATAAACTAATAAAATCTATTGAAAACTACAACTACACATTACTAAACTACTACATGTTTAACATGCTAATCGAGTTTAGTACCACCCTACTACAAAAAGTAGTTTATTTATTTATATGTCTACTTTTCCATTACTACTAACTATCTACTTATTTATTACTTTTACTATCATATAAAACAAAGAAGTCATAACTAATACATATGCTAAAATACCAAGCACTAGTAATATGATAATATGGAGTAGGTCCAGTTTACATCCACAGGTAAGATATACTCGATGAACCGAT